GTTGTGAATGGCTGGTTTTTGGGCTTGGGGAAAAAAAAAAAAAAAAAAAAAAAAAAGCAATGTAGGATTATTTTTCAAAATGTCATACACTGCCCCCTCCCAACTGGAATTTGTTGATAAGTTTTCGGAAGGTGACTGGGAATGGCACTAAGAATATCCCACACATCCCAATCAGTGCAGTGTTAGGTAAGAGCAACAGCAACCCCCACCCCTAGCAACAAGTGAGGGTCAGGGCACTGTCAGTTAGCCCCGTTCATTTCCGTCACTCAGGAGCAGTGGCAATGGTCCTTGATCTGCCAGGGAGGATTTAGAAGTTAGTGCCCTCAGACTGTGAGAATGGCCAGAGTTTTCTGGAAGAACGAACACCTCATAGTTTCTGCTCCTTTGAGTGGAAGATGGTACCTTGTGGTGGCCCTGCAGAAGGGGCCAAAGGCCGGGGAGCCCGGTGCGGCTGGGTTATGCACCGAGGGTGTTGATGGTCCCCCACCACCAAGTGACTTGCTGTTGTTTGCTAAAAGGAGAAAGTGGGTACTTACACATTAATGGAAATAAGTTTGCATGTCCGTGCCCTCCAATATGGGAAGCAGAATGTAGGGTTCCTTGGAGGGAGGCTCCGGGTTACTGGAGTAGCTAAGCTCCCCTCCCTGTCCTCAGGTATTGAACTCAAGGTGTGTGCCAGACAGTACTCTGTCACCAAGTAATCACTGTCCCTTCACCCACAGTGAGTTTTTTGAACAGCTTTCCCTCCCTGGGAAAGGTCAGTAGATTGTATTCCCTTTGTTCCTTAGGTGACAGCGGGAAGGTGACCACAGTGGTAGCCACTCTAGGCCAAGGCCCAGAGCGTTCCCAAGAGGTGGCTTACACTGACATCAAAGTGATTGGCAATGGCTCATTTGGAGTCGTGTACCAGGCACGGCTGGCAGAGACAAGGGAACTAGTGGCCATCAAGAAGGTTCTTCAGGACAAAAGGTTCAAGGTAGCTTGAGTGGACTGGCGGTTTGGGGACTGGGAGTGACTGCTGTTTGTGTCCAGCAATAGGGCTAGTATCTGGAATTTAATGTTCTTACTATTATTTATTAATGTGTGCATGTGTATGATGTATGTGTGTGCCATGATGCATATACGGAGGCCAGGCAACTGTTGGGAGTTGGTTCTCCTACCACCCTGGAATCTGGGGATTGAACCCAGGTCATCGGTCTTGCATGGCAAGCACTTCTATGGACTGATGTGTCTCACCAGCCTGAGCCCAGGATTTCAGCGGGACCTGAGCATGGGCCTCAGGAGAGAGGGAATTCCGGTAGGGAGTGAACTGGGGGAAATGTAAATTTCAGAAGAGCTGAGAGCTAATGTTTACTGGGCATTTCCTTGGTGTTAAGTGCTTGACAGGCAAGTTCTAATTTAATTGACCTGAAGCATCTCTGAGGGCAGGACCGGCTGCTATTCCTGCTCTATGTCAGCAGAAATGAGGCTGCATGGTAAGGGCCCCTTCGGGGGAAGGCTCTGGCCTGTAGACTCGGAAGTCCCTCTCCTCAACCACTTGGTCACATCTCTTCCAGAAGAAAAGGTCAGATAAGGCTGATGATGATGGTGGCTCTGAAGGACGTGCTCTTCCCCAGGCGTCAGCCAGTGCTCAATGTAATCGAGCCCTGACGGTGCTCATTTGAGCCCCTTGCCTTGTGCAGGGCAGGGCTGCCTCCAGAGGATAGGGTGCTCTGTGAGCTGCAGAGGCCTGGGGAACTAAGTAGCAGGAGGGAGGAGGGGGGTGCACGGAGGACTGTACCAGACCCGACGGGTAAGCGGGGCTGGGCAGTGAGGGCTCTTGGACAGGAGCAGCTCTGGGGTGTCAGTCAGACCTTGGTGGAGCTGAACTGCAGAGCTGGGGCGGATCCCCAGCACGTCCAGGGAAGGTGGCGTGTTGAGTTGTGAGTCCCCAGCACGTCCAGGGAAGGTGGCGTGTTGAGTTGTGAGTCCCCAGCACGTCCAGGGAAGGTGGCGTGTTGAGTTGTGAGTCCCCAGCACGTCCAGGGAAGGTGGCGTGTTGAGTTGTGAGTCCCCAGCACGTCCAGGGAAGGTGGCGTGTTGAGTTGTGAGTCCCCAGCACGTCCAGGGAAGGTGGTGGAGGGGGACGGGGGTCAGGGAGAAGCAGACAGCCACTGCTCTCTGCTGCTGCTGCTTTTGCCTGTGTCTGGTGTGACGTTTCCGTGGTCTGATTTCTTTAGTTTTGTAGTATGTGGGATGGAACCCAGAAGTTGTGTGTGCTGTGCGAGCGCTCTACCACTGAGCTAGCTAGATCCCTAGCATCCTTCTTTGTATTTTGACACAGAGCTGCCCCATGGTGCTCTGACTGTCCTTGAATTTGAGGTCCTCCTGCCTTAGCCTTCCAAATTGCTGAGATCTTAGACCAGCACCAGGCCTAGCTTCAGTAAATTCTTCAAGAGATGCGGAGGGTGGGCTTTATGAAGAAACTAACTGACCTTTACATGTCAGCAGTAGTTAGAGAACTTCTAAAAAGCAGCTTGAAGTAAATACACTGGTGGCCCAGGACTAACTGGCCCATAGGCTGTAGCTTGTGTGTGAGGGGAAGGGGCCAGAGGTTGAAGTGAAGAACTAATTCTCTTCTCCCTGCCCCAGGCCTTGCAGCCTTGAGTTTGGGGCACAAGGGACAGCTGCCTGCTGTATTAGCAGAGATAGATGGAGGGTGAGGTGACGGTGCTGGGCGGGGGAGGCGGGATTGTGTATATTGAGACTCCTTTTGCCCTGCAGAACCGAGAGCTGCAGATTATGCGTAAGCTGGACCACTGCAATATCGTGAGGCTGCGGTACTTTTTCTACTCCAGTGGCGAGAAGGTGAGATGCTGGAATCTGAGGGGTAGGGGTGTAGCCACACTCGGATGCTATCCATCTTCCCGCTCTCTTTCCCACGAGGTCCTTCTGCTCCTCACTGGTCTCTGCACACCTTCCCTCTTAGCTTACAAGGTCTCTTCTCCCCTTTGCCCTCCAGAAAGATGAGCTGTATTTAAACCTGGTGCTGGAGTATGTGCCCGAGACGGTGTACCGGGTGGCCCGGCACTTTACCAAGGCCAAGCTGATTATCCCTATCATCTATGTCAAGGTATGTAGGCAGGCTGCTGGAGCACAGGCCCACAAAAGCAGGGGCCCTGGGGCTACCTGTGTCTAAGGTTTCCTTCATCTTTGAATTTAGGTTGGTCTCTGGAGGCCTATGTTCCCTGTCTTCAGCCTTGTAGCTTGCAGATGGGTTTGGCTAAGTCCAGGGAGGGCCAAGGCAAGGGCTTGCCAAGGAGGTGGCAAAGGGTTTGGGGTTAGGTGGGAAAGGCTAGAGTGGCAGGAAGGTGTGCCCACACAGAAGAGCCAGGCAGGCCTCTCCCCAGATCGCCTGTGGGTCTGTTGGTGGCTTCAGCACCTTGTGCCCTGATAAGCTGTTGCTAATGTGGGCTGTGCCTGTGGCTGCCTGCTGCTGCTGCTGGGCCATCCACACTGGGAGGACAGTTCGGCAGTTGCGAGCTGTACTATGGCTGCTTCTATGCTCAGCCAGTGCTGAGCAGTTCCAGAGGCACAGCTGACTGAAGGCCAGGCCTTGCCCATGGAGAGCTGGGCATGGTGGTACACACCTTGTGTCCCAGCACTCAGGAGGCAGAGGCAGAGGCAGGAGGATCTCTGACTTTAAGACCATCCTGGTCTACATAGTATGCTCCAGGACAGCCAGGGCTACATAGAAAGACTGTCTTTAAAAGAAAATAGCTGTTTGATGAGGTTATAGGCTCCGTCACAGAAAATGACAAAGCTGAGGAGCTGCTGCTAAGGCAGAGGACCACAGGGAGCTCTGGAAACTGAACGCCCCTTCCCTGCCTGGCTTGGGGTTGAGAGCCATGAAGGAAGATTGGGAAGGGAGTGGTGTGAGCAGGGGGTCCCAGAAACAGCCCTGTGTGTCAAGGGGTCAATTGGTTAGTATATATTAGGCATTGCCCTAGGCCTAGGAGACGCAAGAGAAAGCAAAGCCGAAGGCCCTGGCTGCACATAGTGGTGCATGCCTGTAGTACAGCACTGGGGAGGCCGAGGCAGGAGGATTTCAAGTTCAAGGCCAGCTTGAAATCTAGTGTGTAACTCTGGGTCAAAAGAAAAAATTCCCAGAAAGGTTCCATGGGTAAAGGTGCTTGCTGCAAGCTTGAGGACCAGTCACTGGGACCCACACGATGAAAGGGAAGAACCGACACCGGCAAGGTGTCCTCTGGTTGCCTGTTATCTGGGTGCATGTGTAACCCCCTCCCCCAGAAGCAGGCATGTATACACAATCAAAGTGTAATCCAAACTATAACAAATCAAAACTAAAAACCCTGCTTAGGTTCTAGTCAGTGGGCGTAAGGGAGGCAGGAAGTGAAGCTGGAGAAGAGCTGCCAGCAGGAGGCCGAGGCCCTCCAGAGCTCGTGGTTTTGGTGAGAGGGGAAGCGGAGTGCCTGGCCCACACCCTGTGTTATGGCAAGATCTTCTGGTGCTACTCCTCAGGCTCGTGCGGGAGGTGACTGGGGCAGTAGTTCTCCATGTGAGGGCCAGGCCTAGTCTCGGTGTGCCATCCTCAAGCTTCAGAATCAGAAATTGGGAATGGGGCCCTCTGGCCTATTCCCATGCGTCCAAGTGCTTGTGGCAGGCATAAAGTTTGAGAACCAGGTTTCAGACTGAGGCGATGGGAAGGTCAGCAGTGTCTGTGTGGGAAGTGGTGGGCAGGGGCAGCGGTGAGCTGTGCTCTGCCCATCTTAGGTGTACATGTACCAGCTCTTCCGGAGCCTGGCCTACATCCACTCCCAAGGTGTGTGTCACCGTGACATCAAGCCCCAGAATCTGCTTGTGGACCCCGACACTGCCGTCCTCAAGCTCTGCGATTTCGGCAGGTAGGTCTGAGCCTGTAGGGCACCTAAAGAGCTGAGAGCCTCAGCCTTGGGTTCATGCTGACCCTGCCTGTCTTTTCCCACAGTGCAAAGCAGTTGGTTCGGGGGGAGCCCAATGTTTCCTACATCTGTTCTCGGTACTACCGTGCCCCAGAGCTCATCTTCGGAGCCACAGATTACACCTCATCCATCGGTCAGTTAGGGATGGATGGGACAGGGACTGGGGAGGGGCAGGCTTGGTGACTAAAGCTTACTGTCTGCTCCTACCACGGTCCTCACAGGATGAGGAGGCTGGCTGCCATGCAGCTACCTGCTGGGGGCTCAACAGCTGGCCAGAGCAGGGCTGAGGCTTCAAGACCAACCTGACTCTATCTAGAGCCCACCTGTACTCTAGAGCCTCCCAGTCAGCAGCTCTGTTAGAGGGGAGGGGAATAGCCTGCTCCCAGGGCCTGTCTCTCTCTTCCTGTGGGAAGGCTGAAATGAGAACATGTATGTGAAAGGTTAGAGGAGGGTGTCAGTCTGAGGAGGGGCTGGGGTGGTCCTTAGATCTGAGCTACCACAGAGTAGGGAAGGGGTGAGCAGGCCATTCGGTAGTTCTTCCATGGGCAGGACAGGCTAGGGGGAGAAATAGCCAGTCTAGAATTGAAGCTTTCTTGTGACCCAGGGCATGCAGGTACCAGTTGGCAGGGTCAGGCCTTGTGTTGGCCTAGCTCTCAAGCTGAGAAGGGTTCAAAGGGTTTGTTGGGGTCACTCACAGAGGGCATGGGGCACAGCCGAGCCGGGTGGACCTGGAGGTTCAGGGTCAGGCTTGTGTTCCCACACTGCGTGTGGTCCTGGGCCAGCACTTGAGGAGATAGCCGTGGGGAGCAAGTGTGCAAAGGAGTAGGCTTGGTGGCTTTGGCTGCCTAGTGTTGACTCTACCCTTCTCCTTCAGATGTGTGGTCAGCTGGCTGTGTGCTGGCTGAGCTGCTTCTCGGCCAGCCCATCTTCCCTGGGGACAGTGGTGTGGACCAGCTTGTGGAGATCATCAAGGTGAAGACAGGAGCGAGGGCAGGGAGGGCAGGGGCGAGGCCAGGGAGGGCAGGGGTGGGCCCGAGGAAAGGGCCCTGTCTCAGACCCTACTCTTCCTTCACAGGTACTAGGAACACCAACCCGGGAACAGATCCGAGAGATGAACCCCAACTACACAGAGTTCAAGTTCCCACAGATCAAAGCTCATCCCTGGACAAAGGTAGGGCAGAAGATTTACACTTCATGGCTGAAGGGGTCGGTCCCCTTGGAGGTCAGCTTCTCTGGGGACCTGGCTGGAGACATAGCTCAGTGGTTAAGAGCATTTGTTACTTGTTACCTGTGGGTTCTATTCCAAGCACCCACATGGTGGCTCACAATGACCTGTAAGCCCAGTTCCAGGGGATCCCTGTAGGCACACATGTGGCTAACCCATATGCAGGCACAGCATTCATGAAGTAAAAACAGATCCAAAACTAAAAATAAGTTATGGCTGTGGGGGTGGGTTTCTAAAGTTATCCAGGAGTCAGGCAACACCACTTTGAGATTGTGAAGTTTATAGAATTTTAAAAGTTGAGAACCCGTAGGTAAATACAAGATCCCCCCTTTATGTAGTGGCAAGGAAACTGAGCTCGCCGCCCGGGTCAGTGCTTATGCCTGTTTCCTTATTGGGGAGGTGGGTGTCAGGGAGGCACGCCACAGCACCCACACGCGTAACTTCCCCCACAGGTGTTCAAATCCCGGACGCCACCTGAGGCCATTGCGCTGTGCTCGAGCCTGCTGGAGTACACTCCGTCCTCAAGGCTCTCCCCCCTGGAGGCCTGTGCGCACAGCTTCTTCGATGAACTGCGGTGTCTCGGAACCCAGCTCCCCAACAACCGCCCGCTTCCCCCCCTCTTCAACTTCAGCCCTGGTGGTGAGAGCAGCTTGGGGCCTGTGGAGCTGTTGGGGGACTTGGGGACACAGGACTGGGGAGCTGAGAGGGTACAGGGCAGCCCTGGGCTTAGCCAGATGTCTCCACACGGTGGCTGGATGCTAGGCCTTTTCCAGTGCTGATCCTAAGAGTCCTGCGGCTCAGGTCTCTGCCACCCAGCATTACCAGCAACTGGGTCCCTGTCCGGTGCTCCATCCTAACCCTAACTGGCTTTCCACATGCCCTGCCTCTCCCTAATCGGGCATGTCCATTCCTGTGTCTAGAACTCTCCATCCAACCGTCTCTCAATGCCATTCTCATCCCTCCTCACTTGAGGTCCCCAGCAGGCCCTACTACCCTCACCTCGTCCTCACAAGGTAAGTTGAGTTAAAGCAGTGCATATGAATGGGGGCCGTCCTTGGCTTCTGGTTTTCTACAGGTTTTCGGTTGACATTTGGTGGCACAGAGTATGTCAGCAGCCAGCTTTACAGGGCAGCACTGTCCACATTGGTGTTTCAACGCCAACCACAAGACCAAACATTTCTTGGTCTGAACAAATAGAAAGTTGCCCGCATTTAAAGATTGGGCCATTTTGGGTAAAAATCCAAATTTCTTGTTTCTTTGGGGAAGAAAGTCAGACTTGGTAGCTGTGGGTCTGCCTGTCTGCAGATGGAGCTCTGTCCAGTTGCCCCTTCTTCCAGGGAGCCTGGCTCCCTAATGGGAGCCACTTTAGTATTAAGCTGGCCCTTTGGCATCTGAGTTTGTAGCCCTGAACCTGAAGTGCCAGCTGTCAGCTTCTTGCACAGTCTCATGGCGTGGGGGCAGGGATGATGGGAAGGCTAACTGTCCACTCCTCCCTCCCTCCTTCCTTCCTCCAGCTTTAACTGAGACTCAGAGCGGCCCAGACTGGCAGGCGCCTG